GTACCTTTCAAGGGTTTTGACGTCCAATGTGGGTGTGGGGCTCTGCTGAGAGCGTGCTTTTCACATGGAAGCCGGACCAACCCCCCCTCCCCATCAGTAAATTACTCGTGAACAAGCTTGGTACTCTCATGCGGGAGGGGGAAAAAAAATCCCATAAACAATACAAGAGTTTTATTGCTTACAACGCTGCGGACAACTGTGGGATTATTAGTTGCCGTGGCAACAGACAAATGCGCTCACGCAGGTTCGGCTGCCTCTGCCTGTGTCAGGCATTCCCATGTCCTTGCAGCACAGACCACTGTATGCTTCCGCAAGACAGCAGCCTTTTCTAATGGCCCCTCCCCCACCTGGAGTTGCCACGGTTACCCCGTCCTAGCATCTGGGCAGGTTTGATGAATTTGGGTGGGGCATGTCGTTTTTGACACGGTGATGCTTTTAAGGATGCATGGAAATCAGGTAACTGGCTGTGACGTACTTCAGACCAGCCATTGCTGTTGATCTTTGGTGGACCGATAGCCCTGCACTGTGCTGTCATGGGTTCCGCACTGTTTTCCCCTTTAGTGACGATTAAATACACTCAATTTACCATTTTAAAGAGTGTGATGCAGCAGTTCCCCCAGAGCAGGGAATATCAGCATGCTTGTTTGGTCAAGGCTACCCCTTGTTAACTAGCCATTTAAAACGGCTCCTGCTCACAGTCAGATTTCCACACCAAGGCTCCAAGTCACTTCTGTGTTGAAAGGTTGCTGTGGAAACAGCGCTTCAAAGTGGCCCCTCTGGTTTAAAAAAAAAAAAAAAAAAAACACTGCGTGCGTCAGAAATGTGGCTACGCATGCCTGGACCCCTTCCTCTGGGCCACGCCGTCGCGCCCGTGAAGGTCCAGGAGAATTTGCACGGTATTTTTCACGAGCCGGCATATTAGCAGTCAAACCAAATCAAAATTTAATCCCCATGAACGTTCCTAAGGTGCGAAGTGGCACTATATCGGCAGGCACTCGATTGATGAGTCTCCTTCCTTGACAATAGGGAGGGGCTCGCTTTCAACTCTCATTAATATTTCCTCTGTGAAGACTGACATGGTCATGGGATTCTCAGAGAGTCCCAAAGACTCGTTTAATGCTCTGCTAGCGTGTTTTAAAAATTAATGTTTCCTGTCGCTCGCCTGAGAGGTTTTTCTGTGCCATTTCAGCTCCTGAGGTTAAGCACAGAATGCCCCGAAATGTTTCTTTTGAAGACTTCTTGTGTGTTGCAACAAATATGATTATATGGTGAATTTTTTTTTCTTTCAGATCTTGGGGGGGGGGGGATGCTGACTGGATTAATTCGGCTGGGCCAACATTGTTTTGGGCTCACATAATTAATCTTCGTCTTGTTATAAGGGATACACCGGAAACATGATCTTAACTGATCAGACTGGAATAGGGGAGATGGATTTTCATTAAAAATCTTCTCTGTATTTCTTTTCTTGCAGCCTGAAAGTGAGGTGTCCACTACGGCAGAGGACTGTTCTTCAGAGGTACGGACCCCAGCACACGCGAAACGCGAAGCTCTCTTTCCCAAACTGTTGTCTGCTCAGGGCTCGGAATAAGATCCTACTTTTGATGTCAGCAGAGCTGCCCTATCATAGAGAGAAAATGGAGTAAAAGGCTTACAGCTGTCACTCATTAAAATTATAAGCCAGTAGTTATGTCGTCTTGCCCTGAATGTTATTTGTTTGTAAATTAGAGAATTGTTCTTTCAGCACAGTGAGTCAGTCCATTTGTTCAGATTTTTTATTTTATTTTTTTTCTCTAATGTTCTTGTGCTTGTTCTTATTGGACTTTTGGAACATTTTTTTCTAATAAAGTAGATAAGCTGAACAGCAGAAACGCCAATACCACATTCCTCTTTAAATCACCGATTCGCTGGTGCTGCTGATCTTCACCCACAAACACACCAGGGTGGTTTACTCTGAGTACTTTTCTTCTGGATCGTTCCACAGCAACCCAAAAACGGGCCTAGTATGGTGGGATGGAAGGTGATAATGTGAGCCCGTATAACAGGCAGTGTTGTGAATTAACAGGTCAATGGGTGCCACGTGGTGACAGAAAGTACAAAGGGATCTCGCAAGGATGTCACATGGGTACGGTACTGCAGTTAGCCAGCTCCTTTGGCCGGCTGAGCCTTGGCTATAACCTTGCTCTGCCTGCTACCGGCACCCCTGTCCCTTTCGCCGAGCCACCTGGCCCTCTGCAGCCTCCTCCTGTCTAATCCACTAACCGTTTTCATAAAAAAAATTAAAAATGGAGAAACTTCTGATTCTGGCAGCTTCTGGAATTTTCCCGTCTGATGCTCAGCGAAGCTGGGCCGTACACCTTTAACTGTACTGACCGCTGTCGCAACAGAGGGGCGACACTCACTGACATTTCGCAGGCGTAAATCAGTCTGGAGGTGATGATGCACGGGGTTGCCGGGTGATTGCCAACCAGTTGAGACAAAGGGCAACTCATCCGGATCTGGATGATGGTGAAAAGTTGCCCACTGCTGATGAGAATTTTTCAAATAGATATTTGTTGCCCAGTATCAATGGGAAGGTGCCTAAGCGACACTGGTCGGCAATGTTACCTGGCAGTATTGCTCAAAAAGTTGCCCTGTGTAGCATCATCTTAAGGGTTGGGAGTCGGTGGTTGCCGGGAGGTGCGGGTGAGCTCTCCGCTGTGCGCCCCGTTACGGGAATCTCGTTATGTGGCTCCCCCTGTAGGAGGAAGACCTGCTGCTGTCCGGACCTCACTCCGAGCACGAGGGCCTGGACTCCCAGACACGGCTGCAGATGGTGGAGGATGAGCTGGCCGTGAAGAGCCAGGAGGTGGAGGAGCTGAGGAGGAAGCTCCAGGACATAAGGGCCACCTTCGGGGCAGAGGGAGTGCAGCAGGTATCAGGCCGCGTGTCGGAATCTCCTGCCGGCCAGCGACACAGAGCCCTTTACTTGTGTGAAGGCCGCTATGTCCATTCGCCATTTCCTTCCGCAACAAGTCTACATCGAGTAGTAAATAACACCTTCAGTTCACTGTACACTAATTGCCTTTAAACCTCTAGTGATCCTACAGTTCATTACTTCCTCAGGTAACATTAGTGCCACAGCTACTGTGTGTAAAACCTTTTGCTGGGTACAGTATGCACTGTGTAAATTGCATTTTGAGTTAGGGTGGCATGTTAAGGTCAACTTAGTGAGTACAAAGGTTACTTGAATAAACGGGGTCTCGCTCTGATAGCGTGCGTAGGGAGGGTGATCAACACGCACTTTCATTTTTCAAATCACCTGTGCAGTCGTGCCCTATTCGTACACCTGAGCTCATTGATACATTTCCGACAAACATACAGACAGCCTGAAATGCCAAAATTGGCAAAGATGGGTCCGGATAAAGGTTTGTTTTACTGCTTAGGGTCTCCGCTATATGAATTCTGACAGCGTTCTGTCAGTGGAGGTGAAAAACAGTAGACTTGCATTTTTTGCCTAGATGATGTCAGGCAAAGGAAAAATTGAGAATTAACACCTGTCTACCAACCAAAGCTTAGGAATTAACCAGTTTGAGGGCTTTTTTCTGGCTTGTTCTCGAATAGAATGGCTTCTGTATCGTTATGTGTTTCATTTAGTGCATATTTGACAGATGATTATGGCACCAGGTCGTCGTCTCTGGAAGTCTGACTGTCACTTGTCCTCCTAAAGCTCCAGGACTTTGAGGCCGCGATTAAGGACCGTGACGGCATCATCACTCAGCTCACGGCCAACCTGCAGCAAGCTCGCAAGGAGAAGGACGAAATTATGAGGGAGTTCCTGGAGATGACGGAGCAGAGTCAGAAACTGCAGATCCAGTTCCAGCAGGTGAGTACCAGCATGTTTTTCCGTGCCGTGATCTATTTACGTTTGTCTCACTTCTCTCCGCAAACCTGCCTTATTTTTGCGGGAAGTCCCTCGACTGCCGGACTGATAGATCCGCGTGTTTCTGCCTGTGCCTTCATCTCGGTGACTAAGCTCCAAGCGGGAGAGACCTTGAGGAACACGAGTCACAGCAGCACGGCTGCGGACCTCCTCCATGCCAAGCAGCAGATCGTCACGTACCAGCAGCAGATCCACGAACGGGACGCAGAGCTGCAAGGACAGCGAGAGAGGAGTCAACAGCAGCTCCTGCGGATCAACAGGCTGCAGGATCAACTTGCACAGAATGAAACGGTGAGATGCGGCAAAGTCGCGGTGTTCTCCGCTACAGTCGTGCACTCGTGGTTAACGTCATGTCATTTCCTTTTTAATATAGCTGGTGAGGACACTAGAGGAATCGTACGCGCAGAAGCTCAACGAGAAGGACTTATTAATCACCAAGCAACGGGAGCTGATATCAGAGCAGGAGAGCTCACTCACACGGTTGAAAGAGGAGCTCACAGCCTCCCAGAAGACGTCGGGTGAGCTTAACACTCAGGTTGCCGCGAGCAATCAGGAATTGGAGAGCTACAGAAGCGAGCTGGCTGGTTCCAAGCAGAGAGAGAGGAGGTCATCGGAAGAGATCCAGCAGCTGATGGCCACAGTGGAAGACCTGCAGAAACGCTGCCATAAGGAGAGCCAGTCGGAGAGCGACATCCTGCAACGAGTGGAAGGAGACCTGGAGAAGAAGATGGAGCAGCTCAGAGCCGAGCTAGACGAGATGTACGGGCAGCAGATCGTCCAGATGAAGCAGGAGCTCCGCCTGCAGCATTCCCAGGAAATGGAGAAGCTGATGGAACGTCACAAGGTGGAGCTGGAGCGCGTGGGAGCACGGCCAGCCGTGGACCCGGAACAGGTGAGCACGCTGAACAACACGATCGGCGAGATGCAGCAGACGTTGCGCGATGCTCAGATGCAGGAAGAGGAAGCGAACCGGAAGCTAAACAGGGTGTCAGAAGAGAAGCTCAGCTTGCAGAGTCAGGTGGACGATCTGTTGAAGGACCTGCGTGCCGCAAAGGGGAGAGCCGAAAGGGCATCACAGAGCATAAGCTTCCAAGAGAAAAAGCTGAGTGAGGCCGAGAAGCTCCACGGCATCATTGGTGACCTGCGCGCTCAGCTGGCCGCCATGGCAGAAGCTACCAAGGAGCTGGAGGTCAAGCACGAATCCGAGGTGACCAACTACAAGATCAAGCTGGAGATGATGGAACGCGAGAAGGATGCCGTGCTGGACCTGATGGCCGAGTCGCAGGAGGCCGAGCTGGAGAGACTGCGGACACAGCTCCTGTTCAGCCATGAAGAGGAGCTTGTCAAGCTCAGGGAGGACCTGCAGAGGGAGAACCTGCTTAACATCGAGAACCTCAAGGACGAGCTGGCCTCGAAACACAAACAAGGGCTTGAGAAGGTGCAGAGGAGTCTGGAGGAGCAGCTCCGCATCGCGAGAAGCGAGAAGGATGGCGTGCAGAGCGAGAGAGACACACTGGTGTTAGAGATCACTGTGCTGAGGAACCAACTGAACGAGTCACTGGAAAATGACAAGTCAGAGGAGCTGACTTTGCGACTTGGGGAGCTTGAGGCGGAGATAGCAGAGTTAAGGAAAGAAGGAGTGGAGAAAGGGACCTTCGAAAGGGAAATCCAGGAGCTGATATGCCGGAATGATCATCTTGAGAAGCAGGGCAAGGAAAGAGAGGCGTCCTGGCAGCAGATTCGTAAAGAGCTGGAATCAGAGAACATGGCTTTTAAGGAAGCCAACATGACCATCACACAGGAGTCCCTGCACGCACGTGAGGAAAATGAGCACCTGACCGCTGAAATTGACCAGCTGAATAAGAGGATAAACGACCTGGAACGGGAAGCAGAGGCTCAGAGGAACACTTTCTCCTTCGCCGAGAAGAACTTCGAGGTGAATTACCAGGAGCTTAAGGACGAATACGCGTGCCTGGCCAGCTCCAAAGTAGAATTAGAGAAAAAGCTCCAGAAGAAGATCCTGGGCTATGAGGCCAGGCTGAGGGACCTTCATTTACAGATCTGCGAGCAACGGGGCCACGAGGAGCGAGCCGGGGAGCAGCAAGACGGCACCAGGAAGACCCGTGAGATGGATGAGGATTTCTACGACGCTGTTGAGGTACTGGAGAAGGATGCCTTCGAGCTCATGGAGAAGCTGGAGGTCGCGGAAAGGGAGAAAGACGGACTGCTGCTGCAGCTGGTGGACGTCTCCCAGCAGCTGGCTTCGAAGGAGAGTCGTGTTGAGGAGCTCGAAGTCAAGCTGGAGGCTGTCAGGGAGGAGAACCGGCGAAGTGTGGTGAGGAGGGAGCAGGAGCCCCTTCAGCAAAGGGGAGGGGAGAGCCTCTCTGGCGATCCCCCTGGCCACGCAGTGTTTCAGGAGGAGAAGGCGTTCACGCTCCAATCCTCCCTGCAGCCCGTCAAGGAGCAGAGCGCGGAGGAGCAGCGCGCCGTGCTTGAGCCCGGCGCTCCCGGGGGGGCACCTGTTGAGAGCAGCCCCGCCGCCCCAGCTCTGCCGTCAGACGGAGAGAGCCCAAGGCAGCGGGGCGCGGCGGAGGTCTCCCTGCACGTGGAACTACAAGAGAAGGACCGGGCTCTGGCTGCCGCAGAGCAGGAGATCCGGGATTTAAAGGAGAATCTCCGCATGCTGCGCGCCTGGCGTACTGAGGATGGGCAGGAGATGGGAGAGCCGGGCTCCGGCGTTGTCAGCGAGGTAACCCTCTCTGTTTGTACACCTGCATTTGCTGCAGTCCTGCCAAACGCGCAGTGCTGCCTGTTTAGATGCATCAGACTGCCGATATTTTCTCTAATCGGCAGATGTTTTATCGCCCGGACTAGATCAGGTACTGCGGAACGGCTTCGCTTTACTCCGTACCATGTGGTTATTGCCATTTTAATGTGCGCATACTAATATCACTCATGAATGCGCACACTTGCCTGCTTGTGTACTTGTGCCCCCCTGCGTGCATCTCTGCCGGGGGAATAATAGACACTCCTGTTGTGTGTCTTATAGCAGCCTGTTGATAGCCCCCCCCCCCCTCCCTTTGCAGGCTTGATTACAAATTGTTTGATCTCCCAAAGTACTCAGCTAATAGGAAATCTCAGCGTCGCTGATAGAAATCATGCCAGGAGCCATTCTGTGTGCTGAGGGTCATCGAGGGGCTGTAGTGAGCAGCGGGAACAGAGAATTGTTTCACCCAGCCGCTCGCTGCCTGGACTGCTACTCAGTCCAGGTGTTTAGTACTGTTAGCCGTCCTCTTGCTGTTACGCAAAATACACGGCAGTTTTTATGCAAATGTGTTACTGCGCTTGCTGTCGACAGGGAATATAGCATCGTGTATTTTTGACAATATTCAGTTTAGCCTTCTTGATTTGTGCTTTGTGTGGGTAGATCTCAAGGTCAGCTTGGGAAGCTGCTTTCTGAAATAAAGAGCTGACTCTGTAGCATTGAGTGTGGTGTTTCACGTAGTCTGCTCTGTGCCCGTGTTTGAGGAGGGGTGGTCTCCTCAAGAAGCATGAACGATCAAGCTAGCGGTGTAGTTAGTAAGTCCTTTAAATATGAAAATGTGCAGCAGAAGATCCAGGTCCAGACCTGGGTAAGATTACAAGGATGGCAGATGATCTAGAAGTGAGCATCATGGAGTAATAAATAGCGACTACGCAGGAATGGTTTACTGTAGGGGATATACTTGGATCTTGGATGGCAGCGATCACAGTTCAGAAATAGTAGTTTTAAGCTTGGAGATAAAGTAGAATGTAATGAAGCTGAGCCTATACTGCTATAGCAGAGCCCCTCCTAGGTCACCAGAGCCTCATGTCAAAAAACACGACCAAACACATTCCCATAATTTCCAGCATAAAGGTTTCAAACCCGAGAAAAGGTCCTGGCAGCTTTATATCTCTGAAAGTGTGACCGAAGGACCTGGAAGGTACATGAGCCGGTCGTACAGCACCGTAACCAGGCCAATGGGCTAAGAGTTCCTTTATTAAAAACTGTGATTTACGAACATCAGGTCAGGAATGAAAGAAAGATGGAGGCCAGAGGAATGAAAGCATCTGAGGGGGAAAAACAAGGGTGACAGAGTTGTGAAATAAGCTTCTGGGTACTTTCAAGAAGCTCTTTAGATTCTTTCCCATCAGGAAATTCAGCCAACGACTGGCTGTTACCTGTCTAAAGACCATGAATAGGTTGAATGCTGCCTTCTGGGTTTTAATGATTATATTTTAATACTGTTCTGACTTTAGGATACCCAAGTTTTCTTTCAGATCAATATAGAAACGTGTTTAAATGTATTTTCACTAATGGCTTATGAACATGCATCTGGTTTTAAATGTCAGCAATCAGAGTATAATTATGGTCTTTAGGCATAGATGTTCCATTTCTCCTGTTTCGATTATTAACCTGGATTATCTCGGTACAAATATGTTGAGGGCAGACTGCTCTAGTGAAGGCCCCTGGCAGGATGTTGACTAGCAACCTTCAGGCTACAAATCTTTGTCCTTAACTACCACGCCACCTAGTGGGCAGATATTTATTTTTCGTAACCTCAGTCAGGATCTCAGCTGGTGCTCTGTTTACTTATGTATGTGTTATTCTCCATGTTGTCTCCAGGATGAGTTCAGTCTCCAGATGGAGGCCCAGCGCATCAGCCTGTCCCAGATCCACGCCGCGCAGCTGGAGCTGCTGCAGGAGAGCCTGCAGGCAGAGAGAGAGGCCGCCCTGCGCAGCCTGGAGCTGGAGCTACGCGCCTCCCACTGGCGGGAGCTGGAGAGGCTGCGGGAGGCGCTGGACTTGAAAGGCGACGTCTCAGGTAAGGGGTACCCCCGGGGCGGGCGCCATGCCACAAAGCCCCACGCTCTTTTTGATCCATCATTGATGGCTGTGCCCCGTCTCCATGCCCTCCTGTGACGCTCACTGCCCCCTTCACAGACACACGTGTGTCAGAGGCTTACAAGTGGATCTGTTACTCTGTCTGTCTGGATAAACAACTAACAAATGTCAAGAAATTATTCAGGAGTGGTTCCTCTGTGACATGACTCTAATCTGTGTGTGTCCCTCTTTTAGCCAAACTGACTTTCACCAGCCAATTTCAGACCACTTCTGTTGACGGTCGTAGTAGTATAATTATAATAATTTTAAATTAAGTATTTAAGTATTTTATAAATATTAAGTATTTATAATCCCTTTTCCACGTGATGGACAGAGAGCTACTCATCTGCTAAGCTTTTTATTGTGATTTTTAAAGGGGCTGGATAATTCCTTGTTTGTCAAAACCTAATCAGTTGTTTTCATCGTTAATTACCATGAACGGTTTGAATGTACCGCCTGGGGATTAGCATAAACCTGCATTAGCGCCGGCTTTAGCATCAGCATAAGCGCGGACGTGCTCGTTAGCCACCGCATGACCCTCGCTCCGCTACTCTGGCGCCCTTCCCCAGACCCTTCGGAGTGGCCGGAGGCCTGTCTGGGACAGGTGGAGAGGCTGAAGGCGGAGCTCCAGGAGCAGCGGGCTCAGCTGGAGGAGCGGCACGGCCTGGAGATAGAGCACCTGCGCTCCTACCACCAGCAGCAGGCTAAGGAGGCGGAGGAGCGCTACGGTGCCGAGATCCTCCTGCTCCAGCACCAAGTCCAGGAGCTCGCTGGGGACAAGGTCCTGTCCAGGTATACCTGGGCACATGCCCTGCCCCGAACCTTCATGGAGGTTTTGGGCTCACCTCACTGCAGAGGAAGAGTGCTTTTCTGATGCCTATCCATCCATCCATCCATCGTCCACCCTTTATCTGAATTTGGACAGTCTAAGCAGAGATACCCAGGTCTCCCTCTCCCTACCCACCCCCTCCAGCTCCTCCAGAGGAATACCAAGGTTCTCCCAGGCCAGACAAGACACATAATCACTCCACCATGTCCTAGGTCCGCCCCAGGGTCTCCTCTTGGGTGGACAAGCCTCTTCTGATGCCTCTGTCCCATAAACACCAAGTGTCTCATGCTGTCTCTCCTGCATTTGTGAACGTAAAAGTTTTCAGGGTAAGAAACGACTATGGAATGTCCCAGAATCCACCTGTTCTCTGGTTTCACACCATCAATGAACAGGTGCATCCCTGGCGGGTGTAGGTTTCAGTCATGCTGGTGCCCCGGAATACGCCCAGACATGCCCGCTTCGTGGGTGTGGCTCCGAGCTCGGAGCCCCGCCAGTAGCTGCGGGGGTGTCCTGCTGCCCAGCTGCCTGGCGGTTGCCGAGGACACTGGGGCCTGTTGTTTATCTCTTATGTGTCCGTGCCAGTGTGCAAATGCAGGGGATTTTGTCCAATTAGCCGCCAGCGTGCATGAGTTTGCCAAAGCAAAGTGGCCTTCCTGCTTTTAATGAGTTTATGCAGCACAGGAATCCGATCAACTTTTTCCCACCGTTTGCCCTAAATAAATGTTTTTTTGGAGAATTAATTTTTAAATTGCAGTGTATGCGCGTCTTCTCCGGGTACTCCAGTGTTGTCCTGCACTGCAGTGGGGAGACGTGCCCTGTGCTGCCTGGGGGAGGCTCCAGACCACCCTGCTTGTTGGAAGCCGGATGGATGAAAAACAAATTATTGTAAAAATCGCATGTGGGCAGTTTTTATTTAGGCAAATTGTTCGGCTGAAATGCGTAGCGCCGTCTGGCCTGTTAGACTGGCAGCCGGAAGCTTATCACGGAAAACCGGCCGCAGAAGCCAAATTAAATCCGGCATCGCTCGTTCAGCACATACTATAGAATTAGTCTGAGAATCGGATTATCGGACCAGCAGAGGCCGGCTGGGGCCCCAAGCTGGAGACATTGCTGTACGTGTTTAAGGTGTGATAATCCTCCTTTGTGGGAGAGAAATTGTTAAGGAAAGTGGAAATATTTCCACATCAGTGTGGCATTTTGAGGAAGGGAGGGCAGGCTAGATGCAGCCAGCAGAGATGAGAGGAAAGCAGATGAGAAAGTGAGGTTTTATTTCCCTTCCAGGGGGCTTTTAAACATTCATGACGGTCCTGGTCGTCTGAAAGAGAGCATGGCGGTTTGTGAGAGTGGACATGTGATAGCAGCTCTTAGGGGAAACTCGATAGGACCTGCTGTCCCGCCTGCTTATTGGGAGAGCTAAGGTGGATCACATGACCGTCTTGGTGGTTTTATGTATAGGAGTCTTCAGCAAGGTATTTACATGGAGGTCTTTGCTTAAAATAGAACAGAAAGTATTTGCAGGTTGTCAGTGTGATTTACTCCTCTTCAGCACCATTTGCTTGTAGTTTGTAATATCTTATAAAAAAGATTTTTGTTTGGTTAAATGTAGGGGTGCAGTGCATAATTACCTGCCTTGCATACTAATCCAGTGTAGGGGTGCAGTGCATATTTATCTGCCTTGCATACTAATCCAGTGTAGGGGTGGAGTGCATATTTACTTGCCTTGCATGCTAATCCAATATAGGGGTGCAGTGCATATTTACCTGCCTTGCGTACTCATCCAGTGTAGGGGTGCTGAAGCACTGGACAGGGCACAATCTGAAGGGGATGCCAGCCCATAGTAAGGCACCTACACAATTTTGGCACCTGCCAATTCACCTCACTGCATATTTTTGAACTGCGGGAGGAAACCCACACTGGAGATTGTGTGAGCTGCACACACACACAGCCAGAATTGAACCCTGGACCGTGGAGGCGGGAGACTACCGTGCTACAGACTGAGCTGCTGTACCACTCCAAGCTATAATGAAATTTGTGCACACTTTTTTAGTCTCTTTGTTTAAAATGCCAGTTTCACTTGTGACGGTTGACAGTAGTTAAATTTCCTTGCCAAAATGCAATTACGCAACACCGCAATGTTGGGCTCAAATAAAGTAAAATGCTGAGCTTTTTGTCATATTTTGGGGAGAATTTTTGGATTATGATTTGTAGTTTATGTACTCTGATATGAGTATCTGTATGTTAGTCACACATACTCAGTGTTGGGGAAGTTACTCGCAAAAGTAATCAATTTCAGACAGAGGTGGAAAGTTCTGGTCTGGATTTTTGCTCTCTGGACCTGAACTTTCCACCTCTGCAATGGATCACTTCCCCAGCACTGCACATGCAAGGGTAAATTCTCTTCTACTAATACTGCTGTGATATTGAGAAGCTGAAGAAGGTGAACGGGGGGGGCTGTAGGGGTTAGACTGTAGCCCAGAGATGAGGCCGAAAATTGACTTGACACCCCAGAAATTACATGTATGCATCATTAGTCTGACTCCAGTTTCTTTCAGCTGCAGTGCAATGCACATACACCGTTTTCTACACCCAAAATTGCCTGGAATCATTCAAGGAAACACCACCTTTTTCTGTGTTTTTGCTTGGCGTTACTACTTTTAGTAGGTGTGAAAATGAGAACAGCGATGCCATCTGCTGTCAAAACAGAAACATTACAAGCAACCAGCCCCTGGAAAGGTGTTGGTCTAATTATTCCTTAACAGCTAACACAGTACCTACTGTGCAGGAAGCCAGATGTTCTGTGTGGAGATGTAACAATGTAATGGATGAAAGGTGTTTAACTATGTATGTGTAATTATTTACAAATCCTTCTGAGGTTTTTTATATATATATATTATTTTTTTTATATAATTTGAGTATGTAGTACTAATTTCCAGAAGATCCCAGAAGTAGAGTTTTACAAATAGTTAAGGTGGATACATTGATTTTGACTTTATTTTTAAAGATCAGTCAGAGTGCTTTTTCATGGCTTGTGACACAGCAAAAAAGTATATTTTTCTGAAAGACCGTGACCTGTTTCTCATGCCCCCCCTCCCAGAATTTCAGCAGCAATGCCGTCTTCTGGACCCGAGAAGATGGAAGAAAGCGAGGAAATCAAGGTTTGTTTTGGAATTCAAAGAAAAAGTCTTGCAGTTCCAGCACTGTCCTGTCTGAGACTAAACCCTCCTATAAACCATGTGACTCCCGCACAGTGCGGCCTGCGGCTCTTGCTGTCCTACATCCTGGCATTCATACAGCCACATTATTCACGTTATAGCTGATCTGATGCCGGAGGTGGCGAAGCACATTTATGTAGCGTATAAAACCGCATTAAAGAATATATATTATTATTCTGTTTTTTATTTTTTTCCATTTTATTTTATTTGAGGCGGGGCAAGCCAATGTGATTAGAGAGAGAGCAGTCCAAACCGCAATAGGGACTCTCTGCCCAATCAGAATTGGCCTTTGCTCATCTCCAAGGAGCCGGCAGCAGAAGTGGTGAATAGTCTGTAAGGTCTGGGCCCTGAATGCGGTAAATGTTTGCTGCCCAGCTGGAAGACGTTGAGATGGAGACGGAGCTGATGCAGCTGCTGAAGCCGATGGGCCTGAGCACGCAGCTGCAGGCGCTGAGGAAGGCTCTGCGTGACAAGTACCTCCAGGAGGTGGCCTTCCTGCGGGAGGAGCACCGCACCGAGCTGGAGCCCCTGGCCCAGGGGCCCGGGGCTGACGGGCCGGACCCCGCCTCACTTATGGAGTCACTGGAGAAGCAGCACCAGGAGAAGGTGGAGGTGGAGATAGCAAAGGTACGTCCCTCTGCAGGGGAAAGTCCACACACACTGAGGGGTCTAAGGGGGGATTACAGATACAGCATGGAGAGTCATTTTGTGGGATTGATGTTTCTAATTTTATTTTCATTGTAGCCCATGAGTTTCTGTTTCACGTTATTCAAGACTGAAGATCCTTTATTGTCATCTCACAGTATCGGACACATGCACAAACATTTGCGTTTCATGCCCCTCATGGCACTGCAGCCCAGTCCTCAGGGCACAGGTGTCAAACTCCAGTCCTGGAGGGCCGGAGACCTGCACATTTTGGGGATTTCCCTCATTTAACACATCTGATTCAGATCTTTGCACCTCCTTGTGCTAATTACCACACATTTCTTGAGCTGAATAATTTGTGGTGGAACAGGGAAAGATCTAAGCTACACAGGGCTCCGGCCCCCCAGGACTGGAGTTTGACAGCCCTGATCTAGGGGGTCCCCAAGGACCGGGTTGAGAAACGCTGTATCAAGACGGTATGCAGAATTATTAGTGACTGTAGAGCGCTGTCGTTTATCACGATGCTGTGATCCGTCTTCGCAGGTGATCGTGCAGATGTCCGTGGAATTCGCCCAGCAGACGGAGCGTGCCAGACTGGCCAAGCGCGCCAGGGAGACCTCGTCGGGGATACAGACGCAGAGCGAGGAGCTGGACTGGCAGGATGCCCGGGATGGCGGCGAGCTGGAGGAGGTGGATGCGGCCTCCTGTCCTCTGGGGCGTCCCAGGGAGCTGCAGGAGGCCGGAGCCGGCCCGCCCATGGCGAAGGTGAATCCCGACATGAGCACAGGCTACGTCAGGCTGTAAAAAAAACGTCCAGCTGGCTTAATGGTCCTTAATGAACGTTTGGGCTACGCCTTAGTATCCCAGAGGAATTACAAACATGCGAAACTGTCACGGTGTTCAGAAGGGCAGGTCCAGTAATGCGGGTGGTATCAGTTGTTACACTGGATGTCTGAGTAGTCATGGGGCCGGGCCAGCATGCCATCATCTTCCTACTCTGTAGGAGTAAATGATGATCGAAGATTAATTAGATAAAAATCTTACAGAATTATCATTATTATTTTTTAATTAATATGTTCCAAAAAATCAGTTACTCGGATTCTGAGGCTCGACATGTTTTTAGGGATGATTCTTATCTACGTGCAGTACTCTTAGCCGCATCCAATCAGCTCTCCCGTATGTAGTGACATCACCAGCTTTTACGGGGATCTCCATGTCTCCCGGGCAGGCGGCTCAGGAGGTCACGCTGAAGGCGCTGCAGCAGGAGCTCGGCCAACAGGACCTGGAGCACCAGCAGGCCCTGGAAGTACTCAGGGTGACGCACACTGAGCAGCTGGAGCTGCAGAGGGACCAGCAGCTGCAGCTGAGCGCCGAGCTGGAGCAGCTGAGAGCGCAGCTGGCACAGGTATGCGCAGAGGACAAGCAGACTTGCAGCCCTTGGTAATGACTGTACTTAACCAGGCTCTGATCCTGGGGGGGGTCTTGGTTTGTACCAAGCTGCAGATCTTAGCTCAGTCCCTTCACGGTTACAGATCAGCCATGTAAATCTGAGAGATGGTTTTTACATCCTATAGGAGTAAGCAGTGTTTGATGTGTCCATGTAAAAGTACCAATTGTACAAGTTATATGGCTATAAAGTCTACTTTTGAAACAGTTAAGAGATTGTTATTCGGGTGAGGACCTATAGTGCGTTCCATTCGCCATCGGAACTCGGTCTCCTAGTACTGAAGCCGGAAGTTAGGAAATGCGCGCTCCTGTTTCTCGGAGCAGCACAGAGGACCCCGAGTTCAGAATCCAAGATGGCTGCGCCCCTTATCAACAAAAATGAAAGTTGTAGTTTTATACTGTTTAAGCACTACTACTTATTTGTGGCTATTAAATCGGTCGCACACACTATACTGACCAACTTATCTGTGGACGTGTTGCTACGGAGCTTTATACGTAAAGCACCGCGCGTAGTGTGTTATCAACTGATATTGCTAATAATGGCTAACAATTATCCGGGCTAGAATTGGATTTCATGATTAGTCGGATTATTTGTCAGATTTAATGTATTTCGGGCTAATTTTAAGTGAACAAAGATCAAGGCCATTTAAACTGAGGTACTTTAAATCCGACAAATTGTCCGGCTAAACAAAAAATCTTGCTGTTTGATATGGGTCCCTGGTACTGCTAATTGGCTTTCCGACTTCTTGTACTGGAACGCGTTTAATTCGTATGTGATGTCATTCCGAGTTCCAACCTCCAAGGTAAATGGAACGCAGCATAACATTTTTATGTCTGACTTTATTTGACGGTCTGTCTCTCTCTCTGAACTTTGTCTGTATCTGTCTGTGTCTTTGTCTCTATCTCTCTGTGTGTCTGTATCTCGCTCTGTGTCTGTCATTCTGTCTGTCTGTCAATGTCTGTGTCTGTCATTCTGTCTCTCGCTGTCTTTGTGTCTCTTGCTGTCTCTCTTTGTCCATCTCTTTCTCTATCTCTCTCCATCTGTCTCTCTCTCTCTGTCACACTCTCGCTCTCTCACTCTGTCTCTCTCTTTCTCTCCATGTCGCTCTCACTCTCTCTCTCTCTCTCCATTTCTCTCTCCGTGTCTCTCTCAATCTCTCACTCTGTCTCTCTCTGTTTCTCTCTCCATGTCGCTCTCACTCTGTCTCTCTCCATTTCTCTCTCCGTGTCTCTCTCACTCTCTCTCTCTGTCTCTCTCGCTGCTTGCTCATTCAGAGAGAAGCTGAGCTGAAAGACCTCTCCCCTGATGATGGAGTCATGGCGGCAGATGAAAGCAGAGCGCCCCCGAAACCCGTCTCCACCACGCGAAGCAGCGGCACACAGACCGAGCCGGTAACCCTCCCCCTAAACAAGTCGGCTTCTCTGCATTGGCTCTTTCTCAGTCGCCTGGCAGCCGGGGCAACCTGTAACCACGCAGGTGATTTACAGGTGTGCCTGTTGCCATGGCAGCACCAGGAGGAAAAAGTCTCTCGACTCGTGTTGCGGGTCTTACATTAATGTTTGTACTTTATTCTTTTTTAATCAATGGCGGTGCTTAGCTTGTAGTGAAACGACTATAATTTGTCTGTGAACTCGTCCGCTCGGCTATTCTACTACGGTGCAGTTCCAGCCTGTCACAGGGTACCAAAATGACAGGACTGCTGTCCCTTGTTTCACTGTTGCCCCTTAAGACTTCAGTGGAGCCTGAAGAGGGTGGAAGAGAGACCCCCCGTGGAGGCGGAGCCAAACCGACAGCCACTTTCCCGGCATCAGACGAACCCGAGCCGCCTTCCACAGACGTTATTACCACTGAAAGGTGGGTTGGTGTTCTTGAGGACTTTATGCCACGACCAGACACCGTAAACTTTCACCATTAACACACCTGCCTGTCACGTGGAAGCTTGTTTATTTATTTATAATCCGAGTTTTCACTTATACTGTCCTGTTACTTTAAGAGTAACTTCAGGTTGGCTCTGAATGGAGATTCACGGAGTTCCTTCCCGAACTGTGGGGCACTTGGTCCTCAAACAGTGGGCAGGGCAGTGCCGCGCTCAGGGCAGTGCATGCCGCTCAGGGCAGTGCCGCGCTCAGTTCAGTGTTGCTAGGCTAATCACCACATCCTCCTGCTGTCAGGTTTCACTCTTATATTACACATTTATGTTTTACACTGGCAGTACAAAATTTAGATTAGATTGACTTTATTGATTCATGGGGGAAATTCTTGTACACAGAGTAGCAAGTCAGAGCAGAGATAAGATATAACATATGATAAAACTTTATCTCAAGGGAAATTGTTGTGCCAAAGCATAGGTTCCACTATGCTTAAAAATAACAAAACTAAGAATACAATAAAATACAAGAATACAATAAAATTAAAACTAAAATAAGGAATCTAAGTACAATACAAGTAGAATGCAATACTAGTAAAAGGCATATCTGTATAAATGAGGATATAAATGATGAGATATGTAACTAAAGTGAGTTTGCATGTGCTAACAAACATAAAATTACTGCAGAACAGACAAGGTCCAAAGACAAGTAAATGCAGAGCAAACAAATCAAAAAGTCTGAAAAACAGAATATTATGGAACATTAATGAAATGCATAAATATTAAGAAAAAAAAGAGGACCACTGTTTGTGGACCGGGTTGGGAAACACTGAATTAGCGGGTATATGCAATTAAAACAACAGATAATGTTGGAATTTTACTATTGCAAAGATGGGAAGCTTCCTGATGTGTTATAAGCACTAAGCCCCAGGTGTTCCGTTCCTCCTCAGGAACCTGCTCCGTAAGGCCAACGCGACCTTGTGGCAAGTGCTGAGCGACGTCCTGAAGACCACCAGGGCCGCCGAGGAGACCATCGGCCGCCACGTCGAGGGCCTGCTGGAGGCGTCCAGCAGGGGGCAGCCTCGCCACAGGTCTGCATGGCAGAGAGCAGAAGCGGAGCCCATTAAGCCCCGTGGCGATGCCTTGGCGGCCGACCCCGGTGGAGGTCAGTGTGTCCCTTACGCTCCAGGGAAACCGAAGCAGCGCACAAGAGCTGCCAGTCGAGTTTGCCGATTGGCCGCATGTACGGTTCGCACTCTTGTTGTGTCGTTCCTCAGTTTGAAATTAGTAACCGACTGATTATTAGATTATCCATTTACCATTTCGGAAATCTCCCCTGTAGATGCATCTTAGAGGCCCATCGGCCAGTGACACGGTAGTGAGGTAGCGAGGCCTCTCCTTGCCTCTACTGTGGCAGCAAGGTAGATGGAGAGGCCTCTCCTGGCCTCTACTGTGGCGGCGAGGTAGATGGCGAGGCCTCTCCTGGCCTCTACTGTGGCGGCGAGGTAGATGGCGAGGCCTCTCCTGGCCTCATCTGTGGCAGCGAGGTAGATGGCGAGGCCTCTCCTGGCCTCTACTGTGGCAGCGAGGTAGATGGCGAGGCCTCTCCTGGCCTCTACTGTGGCAGCGAGGTAGATGGTGAGGCCTCTCCTGGCCTCTACTGTGGCAGCGAGGTAGATGGTGAGGCCTCTCCTGGCCT